TATAAAAGTGATTTCATGCACATTCCAAGTGTGGAGAAAATATTGTGCTCTCAGACTTCTCACTAACATAAGTTTCGTCAAATAATTTTAGTAATGGTAACAATTGTACAAGTGTTGTTGTATATTAATAAATCATTCCATCTATTACTTAGCTAACTCTTACTTCGCTTATATGAGTTAATCATACCGTAATCTATGATATATACTAAAATCTATGTCAATTCGATATAAGAAACATATACCTAATTTTTTATCTTTTCGCCGTGTAGAGATTGGCATAAATGAAAAATAAAAATACCCTTTGACTTGCACGCATCACCTAACACGTCATTTGTTGCATTCAAAATTATTTTCACTCGCAGTCACACTCGAGGTTTTCAATAGATCGTTGGTAAAATAAAATTAAAAATAATCGTTCATATTTTAGTCTTTTTTTTTTTTTTTATAAATAACAGTTTGGAATACCTTGAATATTGTAGATCGTACCCAGTATTCCACGTTTGTAAGGACCAGGCCCGGCTCAAGTGTTTAAACAAACATAGGCCAATTTAGTTTTTGCCACCCCTTACGTGTAAACATTTTATCAAATATTTTTTTTTTATACATACAAAAAGGAAAAATCCTACTTTTTTATTATAATAATAATAGAAAAATAATTATTTTATTAAAATGTAATTCGTTTAATATCCAAGACGATGGATGTACTTTTTTTTTTTGATTTTTTTTCTTATAAATACCTTTTTGCTTTTTTATGCCTTTTTTTTACTTATAAATACATTTTTTGTGTTTGATTTTCAATTGATTTTATAATTTAGTTTAGGTATTATCGATACGAATCGATAAGACCTTATGGAGGCGGTGCATTTTCGATGTTACGTTTAAAATTATTAGTAATCTTAATTTAGATAATTATTTATGCATGAAGTAGGTACTCATCAATAACTTTGGTGGACGTCAAAATATCATTTTCTCTGGACAAAAATTTTTTAAGCCCAAACCGTCAACGTTTTACTGAAGATAGCTTATCTAAGAACATGATGGTGAATTTTTTTTATAACTAACTAGTTAGTCTATTTAATTTTGAAGTAAATTTTTTAATTGCTTTTTATACAAATCAAATGCTTTTATGGCCTTTTTATACAATTTAAATGTTTTTTTTTTTATTGATTATATTGCTTTCAAATCCGAACCTTAGTTATGACCGATACGCGTTTTTCCTTACCGCTCAGCACTCGTGTGTATAAGTGAGGTGCGGTCAACGTATTCGGTTTGTTTTTTCGTTTCACAGGAAAAATGTACCACGTCAACGACTTTGAATATTGTACACTTCGTTACACGCGACAATTCTATTACGCTATCCGTTCGTGCGGTTCGGAAATAGTAAGTGCACTTGGTTCAATCGCCACGTAGGAAATTGCGTACGGGAACTTACCGATCGTCGGTTACCGGTTTAATTGTCCTTAACGAGTCCCGAGTGCATCACATGGTTTGTCTACGTATTTTTTTTTTATTTTTCGTCACAATATATTGCAGCCCAACTCCCGTTAATCATGCCCACTAGCATTATATCTCTCCGATACGGTCTGTCTATTTTTTTCTCCTCCGAGGCCCAAAAGAGGAGACGTATTTTACTCTTCCCCCACCTCCGAATGGAAGTTCGTGAGCATGTGGAATTTTTTTTTTTTAGTGGGTGGCGAAGGAACAGCCACGCGCAATTACTTTTTGTTTCTTTTTTCCTTGACGATCGACTAGCGTAAGAGGTGCGCACGTGTAGTTTTGTTATTGTAAATTGCGTAGACTTCGCACTCAAAAAAAAAAAAAAAAAATAGAAAAACATTTCGAAACGTATTACAGGAAACCGAATGCGCGCCCGTACGACCGCGTCCCCTACTCCTTCCTACGTCACGTCGAAATTGCGAGAAGCTTTTCCGCGTTGACCTCGAACACAGCACTTACCGCGTTGCTCGTAACGCTTTACGAGTACATAAACGTAGCAAAAAAAAAAAAAAGCAAACGATTTATCGTTTTTAATTCAAGCGCACACTGTACTGTTATTATTTTTGTACGGCCGAGTCGTGATAGTTTGGAATTGTCGACGGTTTCAATGACTTTTGAGATCCCCATGAACGCGATTTAATAGTACTGTGCGATGATGTTAACCTAGAACCCGGATAAACTTCAATTATTTCACGAACGATTCTTATTGTCAACGCACGGAACTGTGAACAGTACAGTAAATAAAATAAAAACGAAATTTCGAATAAAAATGTGTTTAATTGTATTTGGTTAAGTATATTAAATTGAATATGCATGTGCGATCGGTAATTACCTAACGGCAGCTCGTTACGGCTAACGACGAACAGTTTATTATGTTTGTTACTGCGTTTTAATGAGATTTATTTCTTGGTGGTGGTAACACCTACGCGTTAACGAATTCATAACTCGCGTTTGCGAAAATTGTACGAATGTGCAAATTAAAGCGTAAACATCGAGATTCCTATAGACCTAGGACAAATCGAGCGTTTCCTATAACACTTGTATACTTTTTTAACAAGAAATTACTTAATTACGGAAAACCAAGCATTGCCACTAATGGTAGCAGTGGCGCCAAAATCCATGTTCATCTATGACGGTCGCCATATGGGTACAAATTTATTTTGGGGTGGGTACCCCGTGGCTGGGACACTAAAATAAAGTTGAAATCTATGAAAAAATATTTCTTGAGAAAATATTAAATTAGATGAAGAAAACAAGTTATAATTCGTATCTTTCTAGTAACTGATAAGAATACTGTACACCTAAGGAATAAATTGTTTATATTTAATACAACATTTCTAAAATTTCTGTTGGTGGGCAAGTGGGTTGGTTGGAAGATTATGTGACTCGCCATACATATAAATATAAGTTTCGGTGCCACTGAGGGATTGTGAACGAGATCATGATAAGAAAAAATAGATTACGCTACAATCTCATAAAGTTCGGAAAACAGAACAATAACTAATTTAAGTGACTACCGACTTGTAATTGTTAAACTTTAACAGTGTGTATGTAAATCGTATTCGTGTCATATGTACAAAACAGTTATTTAAAGAATGAAACAAAATTCGCTTTATGTTGTATTTTTCGAGACGATGCGTGTGTAGGTACGTGGCGCGACAAAAATACGTGTAGAATCAAGAGAATTAATGCAATTATATTTTTTCCTCCAAAGCATAAAACAATGGGGCATAACTTAAGCCTTAGCCAAGGATATCTGCGGCCAAACACTAATTCGGTATTACCAGTGGTCTAGAGCAGTGCTAACTTACAATTTTTTTTATGCGGAACCCCTATCAAAATTATCTTCAAAAAAAGAGGTTACCACTAAACAAAACAATAAACGGCGACAATAATAATACACCTAGGCCGGGTTGCATAAAGATCAGTCTGTAAATTTGTTACTGGCCCTGTAACTTATTCGTTCTGTTAAGTTTTACTGATCGATAATATCATTGAGATGTTTCACAAAGAAAAATTAATTTTATTGATAGCTGTGGTTACCAAATAAATTAAACCGCATTTTATGTGATAAATAGTAATAACGAAAATTATATTAACTTATTGATGTATATAAATATTGTGAATAATATTTGTAATTGATAATATCGGTTATCATTAATATATCTGTAAGTTACCGAACCAAAATCGGGTCTGTAGTATACAGGTCCAACAATCAGTAACTTACAGAGCTGTTAACACTATTTGGCGTTTATGAAACACCCAATTTTAATTACCGACCATTAGTGCGTTATCAGTCTGTAAACTGTCTGCAAGTCGTTAACGAACGTTTATGCAACCCACCCCTAATATACTAAATACAGCAAAGTTATTACGATATCGATAATGTCGTCGTACCGTTGTTGCCCTTATTGTCATCATTAAAACCCATTGAAAAATAAATATGCTTCCTGCACAGCGTCGTGTCATAACAAAACGCACGGTATCGCAAGACACGATCGTATTGAAACCAGTATACGTAATGGGGGTTTTTCGATCTTTATTATACTGCACAAGTACAAAATTACAATATAATATATAATATTGACTATAATATACTATTTTGTAAAATTAAAATATATCAATATTTTATAAACGTGCACGCCTAACACGACTTTTTAAAGATTTTTCAAAGTAAACTTTTTGAATATTTAGAAAAAAAAGAACAATTAAGTGGAACCCTTAGGTGATCACCGCGGAACACAGTTTAAGGAGCACTGATCTAGAACGTAGCGCAAAGGCTCGACACGAAAGACCGATTCGGTGTTAACTCAACGTATCAGGTGTTGTACCTGTTCGACCGAACGCGTTTTGTTTGAGCTGGTCGCACACTACGCGTTTTAACAACTTGTTTTGGAAACAAATATTATCGGGCCAGCGTACACGCGGGAAACGGTGGTACAATACAATGTTTAATTTTAGATGTTGCCGCGTCCAAAACGGTTAATGTGATAAGCCTGCGCGTTTCGAAGCGTTCGGACGCGCGGTTTTTGTCCCCGGCGCGACCCGTATGATGATGCGTGTTCGATTTCCGGCGTTCGAACGCCGCGTCGAAAACGCGTAGTGTGTAACCAGCTTTTAAAGCTCGTTGAAAACTTGTTGCGTTTATTTCTCAAAAACAGAAAAAAAAAAAAATCGTCGGCCGATTGTGCATCCGTTAACTGTCGTCACGTATTCGTCCGTCAGCCAACCGGTCGGCATCAGCACTCCGGCCGCCGCCGCCGCCTCCTCTACCACTACCACGGCGGTAGCCGTAGACCGTCTCATGTAACCGCGGTCACCGCGATGGTAGCGGAGGCGGCGGCGGCGGCGGTGGATCGGTACACGGAGAGGGGGATCACAATCGAGCGGGGTGGGGTACCGGTCCCCCCTCCCGCCGCGTAACGCGTACAAAACAATATACGCATCGTACGCGGCGGCGACGGCGTTACACCAACAAACGCATAATAATAATAATCGCTGCAGACGACGGAGCCGCCGCCGCCGCCGCCGCAACGCGCACCGGCCAAGCAACAACCGCGCAGCACCACCGGCTTCAGTCGGCTCTGTCGCGTTCGCCCGGGAACTACCGTCGTAACGCTCTCCTCCCGTTCAGTTGTCTTCCGTCGGACGCGAAACCGTCGTCCACACCGACCGCGCACGAATCATTTTAGTTATTCCGCGTTCCCGCGCCGACAACCGACCGCGAAACGTTGTCGACCGATTCGGTCTCGACGATTTATTTTCGTTTTATTATTATTTTTAACACCGTTTAAACACGTGTCCCATGGCATTTTCCGTTCTCCCCGTCGCACCGTGACTCGACTTGCCGTTCACCGTACGTACACGTGTTTGTGCGTCGAGAAGAACTTTTTTTTTTTTTTTATTTTTTATGTTAAATTTTCCGTTTTCTATTCCGTTATATTACACGACCCGGCGATACATGGATACTTCGGCCTGATCGCCGCACCGACTCGCACGCACGCATCGCATCGTAAGTATACACCGTATTTTATATTGTACCATTCAACACGTACGTGATGATGGGAAAACATTTCACGATGCGCTGTAGTCTCCGGCGATACCGTCTCGACCACTTTTTCTCCCCCTCGGAATATTAATATTATTCCGTGTTTTTTTTTTTTTTTTTTTTCTATTCCTTCCCGTCACTAGTATCCTTAATGTATCACGCAGGTCAGGTTTATTATTATTATTATCATCGTTATTAATATGTATTTATTTTTTTTTTTCATCCCCGCGCCGCGACCGTACAGCGCGTCCGTCTAGAGGTGCACCCCAGCATTGAAATCTCCGCACGACTCCCCGTCGTTTCTCAGAAACAAACGCGAGATGTTAGTAACCTATACACACAGTCAGTTTAGTATTAGCATCTTGTCGTTTTCTTGCTTCAACAACAATAAAAACGCGCACGTTTTGGGCACATTCTTAGTATTAAGATTATACGTGAGCGTACCTTTATGTGGCGCGACCCGAACGGCGCCTGTAAACCGTGTTTCCATTGTCTTTGAGAAACGCGGGAAAAAAAAAAAGTCAGTTCTTAAAATTTCTGCAGGTGCGCCGAAACTATCGTATAAAAAATATTGTTTTCAATTTTTTTATCCGCAAAAAAATAGAATAAGTTCTCGGTTTTATAATCTTCGGTTTTTCTCGGATTAAACGTTATTCATTTTTTTTTCTCATTGTCTTTTTTTAATACGACTAAGTATTTATTTTTAAATATATCACGTTCGTAAATAAAATTGCATGCGAAACTTAGCCCATTGAATTATTTGGCCGTTCGCCAAATGCGCTTCGCCGTAAGTAGATGTAGTGTCTTCGAGCAGTAACGTTTACTTTTATTTATTTTAAAAGCATTATTTGGAATCCGCCTAGACGAGATAGCAAAATCGGATCAGATCGTTTTTCGTTGCCGAAGAAACAATGTCCACCTCATTTTTCAATCGCGTTGTCGAGTCTCATTTCACAAGCCTACGCTTAATAAATACGATTTGTTTTTGAATCATTAGTACGGTTAATTATTTTTGATTCTTATTATTCGGTCTATTAACAACGATACGAATAGAAAGAAAAAAAAAAATAAATTTAAAAACTGTTCGAACATATATGCCTGTAACGCATGCATACGTATAAATTATTACTCGTATGTCGTATAACTCGTACGAATTACGTACGTTTTGCAATACCCACGTCGTGTCAATATTACGACACCCAATCCGCCGTGCGCCACTATATAGCGTTCGGTCGAAATCCAACGGAATGGGTTCATCGTACTTTTTGTCATAACGCAATTATAGTTCAAGGTTGCCTGCAAGGAGTAATCAGCGTTTGTTTTAATGGACGTGCAGACCAAAACGGTTTTCGCAATGAATTGAATTACACGCCGCACCTATACGTATTTGTGTATTTTTTTTCCTGTTTTTTTTTTTTTTTTCTGTTTCTCGACTTCTCCCGATAGATCTAAATCTAAGTTTATGATTCATACACGCTCGTATTATTTTCAAACGTTATTTTTCGTCGACGGAATACAATACAAGGAACTGCGCGTAACACTTGATTGCATTTAACCGGTTTAACTGAATTTAAAGAACGTCCGTCAGTCTTATCCGTCGGCCGTCGATGTTTTGCCAATAATAATAGCAATTGTTTTTTGATCATCGGAATTTAGATTGACAGAATACGTATGTTTTAATTTTGACAAATGGCGAACGAAATTCAAAGTTCTATAAATGACTTATAAATGTTTTCGTTTCGTGTGAATGAACATATAACCAATGCAACGTATTCTACCCATCGTATTCATGACCCGCGTCCACGTACACGTTTTACTTCAGCCGCTACCCACCACCTACCATCTACTCCGTATTTTTGGTTATTTCGGATTTCACACATAAAGCAGTATATTGTTCCTCGAGTGAATATATTTCGCTGTAAGAGAATAAGTATGTTTTTTTTTCTTTTAAATACTTACATTAGTTACAAAAGGAACGGTGCATTGTTATGTGGGCCCATAACGTATTGTGTGCTCCGCCGAAATGATTATCTAGTTTGTTGGCGTCGTCTTCTCGCGCGACGATGAAGTTTGTTTTTTTTTTCCAGCACCACGAATAATAAAAACAGTAATTATTCGAACGCATGATGCTTTTGTCAACAGCGTAAAATAAAAACGTATATCCTCCACTGAAATTAGCATCACAACAGTGAACGTGAACATAAACTTCGTTTCGATTTCATAAATCCCGGAATATTGATGATAATAAATCGTTAAAAAAATGAAAAATCATAATGTTATTGATGGAAAGCGGGCTGTTTAGAAGTTTGGTGGCTACGATGGCCCGACTTTTGTGGTTCAACCGGCGAATTCGTTTTAAAACGGTCATCTTTGTGTTGCCGTATTAATCTCTTACCGCGGATTTTCGTTAAAAAAAAAAAAAAAAATCTTCCGTTTGACAAATACGTAATAATTTGATTGAATCGATTATAGAAAAGTGTTAGTCTGTTGTATACGTAAATATATAAACATGCGTAGGTACGTAGATATATAGGACATCGGATGCAGGTCAATTCCCTCGAGGGCAAACCCGAATCGAAAATCGCCGATCGCGGCACTCTTACACGTTGCACGGTTGACACAGTGGTCGGTGGTTGCTGTCATGATAAAATACACGCGAATCTGGGTTATTTCAATTAACCGAGAAACTGTACAACACCGCATGTAATTTAGATTTGTTTTTTTCTCAATCGGTCACACAAAAATAGAACATGAAATGTGTAAGCAGTTATAACAACAGCGGTTAAACGTACACAAATTAGTTAACAATAACATCTACGTGGTGCGTGTACACGATTTTATAATATATACTACAGCAGCACCGTAGGAGCTACACTTCTTTATTATTTTAATTACATTTATTTTAATCGTAATGCGTTCGGAAAATAAGTTCTGTCGCTGTGCTCTATTTGACCATAGGCGATATTTTTGCGATCGTGGGCGTCAATCGAGATCATAACGCGTGTATTAATTTCAGTAATAGTTATTCATATATTTACGTGTATTTTATCTGCTCGGTCCCACTCGAAACCTGTTACGCAATTACTACAATGCAATCATGTCGTGAAATTCATTCGTATAATTATCACATGTACTGCGGCAAAAATAGAATACTCGATAGTGTTTAACGCATGTGTGTGTGTGTGTGTGTGTATGTGCACCTAAACGCACACGTCTTGTGTGTAAAAGCTTTAAATTGTTGAGCCGTTTATTATAATACTGTATAGACCCCGTCGAAGGTCGTTCGGCGAATTACTTAAACGATCACTGATATACGCTCGAACAACAAACGGAATTATTGTTTTTTATAACTGTTACGGGTAAAACTTATCGTAGGATTCGCAACAAGCCTATTGAATCGTATATTTTCCAACAGGAAGTGAGCGATGTTAACTTACCTTTATTCCGAACGAGGAACGAATTTATATTATATGTTTCATCGCAACACACTCGTTCTCGGATATTAGTCGAAAACAACTCAAATGTGTGTGTGTGTGTGCGCGTGCGTGTAGGTTACATACCTCCTGTTTTATGCCAGGAAGACATCTGTGTTACCGATAGTTAAATTTAACCTTAGCCAATCGCTCTTATGGGACGCACGCGAACTAATCGAAAAACCGAAGCAGATCAATAGGCTTGAAACGATACTCATATCGCGGAATAACGATATTATTGTGCGGACCGACGTTTAAAGCGTTGCGATATGATGGTCATCTAATCCGAAACGTATACAGCGCAGGTGACGCGCAACGCGAACGCGAAGTAAGGAAACGGAAAAAAGTGCACGTTTCGCGTTCCAAACCGAATCGAACGTCACGGGCGGCAAGGAACGCACGCGCTAGACCCGTTACAGTACATCCGTGCGTTACTGGATTTCGTCCGTAACAGTACGAGCACTCGAAACGCAATTCACGATCTGTAGATGCCGTCGGAAAAAAAAAAAAAAAAAAAAAAACGTTTTCCGTTCGAGCCGACGTCCGACCGTTTCGATTCGCACGCGTGCAAAGCGTTTTTCACCTACTCGTACCGCGTGGGCGCGAACGGTGGTTCCTGTCGTAAACCGCACGAAAAGACGGAGTGAACTGTATACGTACAGCGCGTGTACGCCGGCGTGCGATGGGAACGCGACGACGGTGCACTCGGTTCGCAGATGGATTTGACGACGCGTCTGTCACGCCTGCTCTGCACGTGCGCTTCGTTCGTGTCGAGCTACGAACGTTGAACCCGAGGTATAAACATCGTGGTAAAACCGTTTTTCCGGTCCGTCGAAAACTCAAAGGCGAAACTCGAGCGCGCGTGGTGACGCGACGACGTCAAAGTTTTTCGCGGTTTCGCGTCGCCCGACAACGTCGCGCGAACGCTTTCGGACCGCTGAAAACGCCGTCGTTCTCGGCTCGACCGCGCGGTTAGGAAATTCGCGAACGCCGTCGTCGGCCCGCGCGGCGGCGTTTCGAAATCGTCTCGAACCGGTTACGACGGTGCGCGCGCGCGCGATGTGCCCGTCGAGTGGCCACTCGGAGCGGCCCCGCGTGCGTTTCACGTGCACCGGCGAGAGGCTCGATTCGGGCGCGGCCAAGAACAACCGTAGGAGAACGAATGAAAAAAAATTCGTCCGCGGTTCGCGTTGAAGTGTCCGGTTTTCGTCCGGTCTTCCGAACCCGAGAGCAGATCCGTGTTGCGGAGCGACAACGATTTGTTGCGCACGAATTTGGTTCCACGCGCCGTTCCGGGAAATCGTACGGCCGACGAGATCGCAGCCAATACCAACAGAGTAGTACATCTGCAGTCGGTTCCGAAAGCAAACCGGAGCGCGGAAACGGAATGGAACCGGGTCGCGAGCGCGTTACTACCGTTGCGCTCTATACGACGCGCTCGTCGTGCTACTGGGAGTTTTCGCGTCCCGATTACCTCAGCCCCCCGGATAC